GAAAGCCCCTTAACTCGAAGGTTATATTCATATCAAACCTGGAATTGACTTTATTTGTCTGAGTATCAAATTAACTGTTTAGCCAAGAACCTTTTGACCAACAAGGCTTATGTCAAGTGACCAATCTTATATATCAACATACAACACTGATGTTTTATTCAACATTGCTGAATCATATTTACAATACCTTGCAGTATAATGAGAAGGTGCATWTGGATTTTCAAGATACTCTTGAGGCAGGTGAAATGGATATCTGGAAGTACCATGACCCTCTTCCTCTTGTAATTTTTCATTGAGGTTTATATCAAATGTCATTTCACCTGCTGGGACATTGGGGTCACCCTAAGACAGTAAAACAACATGCATTAAGACCTGATCCACACTGTAACAAAACCACAAGCATAAGAGTAAGCACAACCTAACCGAAACAAACAACATGATAAGTTATCTCTGACCCACCCAACCAATTACCAGCAATGTTCTTTGGAGCTGCGACCTGACCCCATTTGCATAAAATTTCATGAACCACACAGTTGTTCAAGCACGAAAATGCATGACCCACACCAAAAAAACAATTTTAATCAGAGTCTCTAAAAAATGAGCAATTGGCAAACATGAAAATGAAAGATTTCTCCTCATTTCCATGACCTATTCTCACCAAGCAAAATGAACACTTGAGCATGAACAGTTTTCTTTTAATTTGTTGAACATTCTTATTTGATGTATTTGCATTATTAATGAAAATATTATTATTTCTTTAGAAGGACGTTCAACCTTACTTTGTGTCAAATTTTAGTCTGGTATGTACTTACAGTTATTTTCATGCCCAGTATATTTTCTTCAGAGGTAGTAACTGATATTAATTCAATGCCATGGCTGCTGTATGTCCCCTGTAGTAATAACATATTATACATGATCAAAATCATGTTAAAATACGCAAATATAATATATATGCATTTTTAGTTTGTTTCATTAAATTCTTGGATCATGCTGTACCATCAAGGTTGTGTACTGGAGTCTGCGAGTACCTTTAGAGGGTGGTTTATTTTGCTTATGAAAACTCAAGACCGTAACCGTGATTGTAAAGTTTAAGGAAACTAGACGCTTTTAGCGTGAAGTCGGGATAGCTATTTTTGAAAAATGAGAAAGACAGGATAATACATGTTTGCGCGTATAAACACGATAAGATTATGATGTAATATTCTGATTATATATGAATGTAAACGATGGCGTATAATATATATTTTTGCTTCTAATACATAGTGAAAGCAAAAATGCGTTACGATATTARTTTTTGACGGCAAAAACGATAAAAATATCGAGCCAGGAAAAATATCCTGTCTTTCTCAATTTTTTTTCCAAAATAGCCCGACTTCACGCTTTAAGAGCGTCTAGTTCAAAATATGCAAAATTTCGTAAGACTTAAATAAATTTGACCTAAAAGGTCATGTAATCAACACCGTTGATACTTCAACTTCAACATGGACCAGAACTTACTAGTCAGAAGAATCTCCAAAAAGTTATTTTCAGGTGAATATTTATAAGTAATAGGCCATGGAACGAGGGAAATTAGTGATTAAATTTCCCCGAAACCGAGGGAAAATTTGTGGAAGTTTGTGGACTTTTACAAATTTTCCCGAGGTATCAGGGAAATTTAATCACTAATTTCGCTCGTTACTGTCGATGTTAGTACATCTATAACGTTTGAGCTTCCGGTCAYGTAATAACACAAGGACAKGTGGAGGGAGTTCACAGTTGATTACTCTATAGAACATTGTATGACAAGAACAAACCTTATAAATACCAGGGGAAATAGTACAGTCACTATGTGTGGTTGACAATGAGACCTGAATTCTCTTAAATATGAGGGGTTTCCTAAAAGTTACAATGATACAAATAATGAGAATTAAGAAATGCACTGTAAATAATGTTCTATATAGCTATTTCAAAAAAGGTTGTCGATAAAATGGTGAATGTCAATGGTCGAATGGCGATTACACGACCGAAAGTAGCCATGGGTTTTGCCTGTTGAAAGGCAATAACAACTGATTTATATTGTAAGGAAGTCTGTGGTAAACATTGGCTCCATTTAGTCTCCATTCCATGCAAGGTGAATCCAATAAGTGAAATAACAACTGATTTATACTGTAAGATAGTCTGTGGTAAACATTAGCTCCATTTAGTCTCCATTCCATGCAAGGTGAATCCAATAAGTGAAATGTTGTTTATCAAAGCAGTGTAACCATAGTCCCTTCGGTCGTGCAATCTCCCTTCGACAATCGCTGTTCTCCCAGACAACGTATTCGAAATACAATGTAGCTGTATAACATGGACTTTAGGGAAGGCGGAAAGGGTGGGTATAGCCCCTCTGATAACTTTAACTAATTTAATGTGAAATGTGCACTTGGAAAACAAAACTACTCTACTTTTGCTGTGACAGTCAAAGAGTTTAACATGTACCACATAACTTAGACAAATCTTCATTTTATAGAAGTCATGATGATTGTATGGGCTCAATAATAAATGGCTTAATTTTGCAATATACAATTTCATTGTGAGTTCTCGAAGAGGACAGAAGGGGAACTGATCTGTCATAAATCAAATAGCAAATGGATAATAACATACTGTAAGGCACTTGTCATAGTCTTGAATTTCTGGATGGTGTTATAAATAAGATGTGGATTGCTAGCAAGATACAGTTCATCACCATACTCCTCTCTGACCCACTGACGGAATCTTTCTCTATCAAATTGTTCCTCTTCCTAAAAGAAAAGTAGCTGCAATTACTCTGAGTTATTGATGTTAAAAGATTTTGATTATAACCAAGCCATAGTTAGTAACTTACATGACCCAGCTTTTGGCCATATCAACTATCCTCATGAGGGTTACACTGATTGTGTATTGTTGACTTATTTAATGCATGGTGGGAACTAGCGATAAACTAGTGTGAGCTGCATTGGACTGTTTCTAAAGCTGAAACAGTTGTGTAAAAAGATAAATTAGAAACCGTAAAAAAGTAGGTGAAGTAACGTACTGACATTTCGGACGTTAATCCTTCGTCGGAGTAATGAAGGATTTTAAAACATCCAAAACATCAGTAAGTTATTTCACCTACTTTTTTATGGTGTCTAATTTATCTTTTTTACACAACTGCTTATTTAATGCATGGTTGACTTATTTAGCTGTAATAAGCCACGAAATCACTCATTAACAAAAAAATATYTTGATATTTGTTGTACTTGGGTTTTAAGGTGGATCACAACTATGAAATATTTTACTAAATAGAGGTATTTAATTACTCTCTGAGATATTTGAGAAAACTGYGCTAGGAGATGGCAACAAAGAGGTCGTCCACATAATTTACCACATAAGGCAAATGATGGCAAGAACAAATTCATCCAAATAATTTTATTAACATACATCATATTTGAGAAAACTGTACTAGGAGAGAGTAAAAGGCAAATGATGTCGAGAACATAATGTAGACACACTAGTAATGATAAGACTAGCAGGAATAATTCTTGGAACACGGAATGGCTTACAATACTTACATCTGTATCATCAGCACTATATTCCTTGTTACAATGACAGATAAATGAAAAATGGTCAATGCTTCTGCTACAACAACTGTCATCAATCTATAAACAGATTAATATTTATATTTACAATGATGTACGTCATAGTCATGATATCAATGAAATTTAGTAAAAAAAGTACGCTTGTATACAGATTAAACATAAAAAAATATTAAAATTACACAAAATATTAGAGGTTTGTAGCAATAGCCGACTTTAGATATTTTGGTTCAGTGACCATGCACAAGAGAATTGCAGACAAGGCTCCGGKGAAATAAAGAATAAAACGATATTATACGCTCTTTGATTGGTCATTTTGAAGCGTGCACTTCAAAATAACTCTTTGCAATATAAAAAAAAATAAAATTATCAATGGATAATCTTGATTTATTCTTTATTTCCCCGGAGCCTCGTCTGCAATTCTTTTGTGCATTTTGTGCATTCGGCTATTAAAGCCTGGATGTAATTAAATGGAGTGACCTCATTGGTTAATGTTGATTTTCTCTGGTCTATATTCTTGACAAAAATTCAATTTGATACCTTTATTACTTAGGTAAGAAACTAGCGAAAATGTTCTTCAAAGACAAATTTATTCATAGCCTCTGCATAGGGAGAGCCTACGTAGCAGTCAGTTGATGTAATATATTCATAAAGATCATTATAATTATTCACAAAACACATTATACTAATAATAGAACGAGAAACAATGGAAAACATTTTATGATACACTGTACATTACATCAACTGCGTGCTATGTAAGGTCCCCTGTCTGCATGCAACTCCATTGTTTTCCTTTTGCAMCAAAGGAACCCCATATGTTCAAAGATAAAGGAGTTATTGAGTTGTCTGCAAAGGAGGCTATTTTATTCAGTATCCAGAAAAACTTTCAAATTGACATAAATTTACTGTCTATTTCTAAACATCGTGGAACAAGCAATAAGCTCCTTGAAAGCGGCGATGAAAGCAGATGTAAAAAATCGTCCCGCAATACAACAAGAAATGAATAATCGAGATGAAGCAAGAAATCAAGGCCTGCTTTTGGAGGCTTTGAATCGAAATAGTATTGAAACAATCATTCCAGCTAAATGTGGGCTGGCTCCATTTTATGCAAACATATCTACCCCGTTGTATTAACAGAGAGTTTATCATTTATCGAAGGCTGAAATTTAAATAGAAATAACAAGTAGTATTGATTTTTTCTTTTGTGCTATTGTATTTTGAATCGCTCAAATGATTGTCAAAACGCACTAAAGAATGTATTCTCGAATGGTTATGATTGTCCGAACGCTCTATAGATTGACTATGTTTATGCACTAATGAAGTTTCATTTTTGGTTGAATGATTGTCAATAAATGAAACCGTTTGTCAATTGGTGCTATTGAATTTTCATTGCACGCCACATGAAACAACGTTCCACCCAAATGATTGTCCAGTCGTTCAGTTGATTGTCTATTGATACTGTTGAATGCTCGCGCGTATTTAAATATCGCTATTGAAAGTTGTTTCGCACCAATGATGTTGCTTACGGTGTTTAAGAAAGTACAATTATTATAACAGTTATTGAAGCATCCCTTGGCACAAATGAATGTACGTTTTATGCTCATGAACAGCAAAAGGTGTAAAGCTCTATATTAACCAAGCTTAATTATGGTCTAGATACAGTAGAAAAATCTATAGACCTATCTAGATTGCACACTCAGTTCACTTGATAAAACCTACATGTAATTATTTCTTTTCCTGGCTTATTTATTCTTTATTTTATTTATACTTATGCAAGCTGACGGTGTTTTACACTTTGAATGAAAAGAAATGTTCCAAAACTTTCTTATGTGTAGAGCTCCTGTGAGCATGAAGTAAGTTTAACTTTAAAAAAGTATTTCAGGGTCAGTTTTGTCTTAATTGTGTTAACAATCAAAAAGAAAAAAAATGCTAATGAGATGTATTCTGACTATTCAATCTACTATACTAACAGTAATATACTTACTTTGATTGTTCCTTGTTCGCCACACTGGTGGAAATCTGTCAGGTTTCTAGTTTTTAATTCACCACTTCTTGAGTTGACAGTCAATTCAAAAAAAGGTTTGATACGTAAAGGATCATAAAGATGATCTTTGATTGGTACTAAGCACTGCTCTGCTATTATTCTTCCATTATTTACCTGACAAGATGAAATCAGTTGACATTTTTGTTAACAGGAGCAAATGACTTTATTGTTCRTAGTGTACTTTGCTGCATCAACCTTGGTGTTCAATAAAATAAAACCAAGCCTTCCACCTACACGGTCATCTTCAGGATTACAATGAATCTCGTTACAAATAAACATAAAAACTTCACCATCAAAACAAAGAGTGTTGCATAAGTTATGACGTTATAAAAGTGCATGCAATAAATTAATTGCGTAGCAATTTTAGGTAACTTTAGGTGGACTTTATTGTTGTCTTTATGAGTTGACAGCTAATGTGATTGACTGTACATGTACATTGTATGTAAATGTAATAATTATGATATGATAGTCATAAACAATTAATTTTAAGCTTACATGAATGTGGATTAGGCCACCATAATACTGTAGGTTCAGTCTCCATATTCCTAAGATTGGTCCAAATTGATGAAGAACTACAAAATTACGTTAAGTTATGAAGTCAATCAATTGCCAGCTTTCATGTCCAAGCAGGAGGCTGGGTTCAAGTTTTAAAATTGCAAAAATTGCCAAGTTACCTATATCATCTTGGTTTAGTTCAGATGACTATCTAAAAACTTGAAGCTGTTCAAAAATGCTAAAATATACAAAGTAAAGTACAGATTTTGGGGATAGTTTTCCCATAAGAGACTTTTTGAATACTGTAGCTATAATTTTTGTATTATTGGATTGATTTCCACCAAACCTTTTTTTTTAAAGTAATATTATATAAAATATGAGCTCGCTTGTAGCTCGCAGTTCTATATGCCCATAAAGGTCGGACACGAATATTTTATACTGCTTATCAAATTCCAACATAGGCTAAAAGCATATTTCGCAAAAAAAACCCTTCAAGATAAAACATATCATTTGTAAGAGAAAATTGAAGTTAAAGTTGTATGTAAATCAGGACAAATCTCTTGCTCATATAAAAATGCAGTCATGGCAATGATTTTCTATTATGTTAACCTTATGAATTATTAATGAATTTTATAATTGAGATTTAGATATATGCTCTTTCAGATAATGTATGTCACACACCTATTTGTGAAATTTTAATCATACATGTACCCAGTTTCCTGCTTGGACATGAAAGCTGCCAATACAATTATGACAGAGACCATTTTGCAGTCATAATTGAATCTCAAATATGAGTCATCATTATTCAAATAACTTCTTCCTGCCTGTRCAGTGCAGCAAAACCACAACTGATTGGCGACATGCAGGATAGAGCTATTTAAAATGCTACTGAACCTACAATGATGAACAAAATTTATGAGACCCCCTACTACCAAAAATGCTACATTCTTATGGGAAATGCTGTCTGTCTTCACCCTTTATTTCAATGTTGTGTTGGAGTACAGATTATGTTTTCACCCTTTATTTCAATGTTGTGTTGGAGTACAGATTGTGTTTCATGCCACTGGAGGCCCAACATTGTTCTGGGACGCAGGTTGGAATTGTATATGTCACAAAATATATAAGAACTGTGTTACAATCAAAAATCACACTTCTTGCAAGAGTCTCATTCATTTTTGTCCATTGTGGGTTGCAGCTGTTTGGCCACTTGGGCAAATCTGACTACAGTCAATAACACAAAATCCACTAATGATACATTTGTTATCCAATCATCCCTAAAGTGTTTCTCATGCTCATGATTTATCAATATTAATTTAATTTGTAAGTGAACTGTGATAATGGCAGAGTGAATACTCTAAGCAATTTAAATGTTAATAAATGGATTGACCAAAAACATTTTGGTTTTCAAAAGTAATCTATGCTATGAAGCCTGCAACTATGTTGGCAAGAGGTCATTTCATGGTCCCATGACCTAGCAAAGGTCTCAGGTTTGATACCTCATCATTGACCAAWGYAAGATGTCAACCTAAGCAGCCAACACAGTCCAGTGAAACAGCCATGMRCTGCCACCATCCCCTTTGGCTAAAATCTTTTATACCTGGTAAACTGCTACTGCTCGCTTATTACTCAGTTTAAAATTGCATGCTTTAAAAATTGAAGTATGCATACTACTAATCTTCTATATGTATTTGAACTGCTGAGCTATCTTATTTATACAAGAATAATATATTTTATAGATAACCTGGTTATTTCTTACATGTATCAAATATCATAAAAGTTACCTGAAGCATAAAAATCTCTGTATGAAGACGATATCCACCCTTCTATACTTGTGATATAATCACCATAATCTAGAAATGAGCAGAAAATAAATAGCAAAGAAGTTAGATTACGTTTGATTCCTTTTCATTTTCCTTACATTTACRTATTTCCACCATCAAAATTAAGCAGCTGAAGCAATTAATATATAATAATATACATTATCTAAATACACCTACTTCCAGAAACATTGTCATAGGAAATAGAACATTCGAATTTAGTAAAAAGGAATAAATTAAAACAAGACAAAAGAGAGTGTTCAGCCTGAGTGATCTTCCTTATTCCTTTTTACTAAAAAGACAAATGTCCTGTTTTCTATGACAACATTTCTATTCAAGATTACTGGATATGTAATATACTGAAAATCATTAAAACAGTGTAAGAATGGGAATAATTTCCACTTTTGTAATTTTCTGATTCTAAAATTGTTCTGTCACAGTTGATATTACAATTCATTAAAAAAACATTTATGTTAATGTTTTAATTGTAATTTACTGTTGATTTTTTTCCTCAAAAGATTAAATCTCAATAAATATATTTTACTTTTACTATTAAGGGTRTACTGACGTATCTATTTCTAGGCAACCTGGTTGCTATGCTAGACGATGCTAGCCAATCGGAGAAGCGGGCGTGCGCACGTTTTCATGACCGGAAAATTTTTACTTCTGTTGGAAAGCATGGTATCATTTAAAAAATATAATCTTCGGTGCAAAACATCAAATGGATGTGTTTTTTCAATATTTATGTTCTTTACAGCCTCCTCTTCAGAACCAAGCATGGGTTTGGCGAAAAATAAAAAAATACGAAAGTTATTGGCATTTTTCGCTTATTTGTGGCATTTAAAAAATCATAAAAAGCTTGCCTGTGCCCATCTTATCATGCTCTCTAAAAAACGTGACCACATTACACCTCTTCTTATCGATCTTCACTGGCTTCCTGTCTCCGCACGTGTCAAGTTTAAAATTCTCCTTCTGACTTTCAAAGCTCTTCATGGCCTGGCTCCTATTTATGTTCAAGACATGCTTGAAAAATATCGTCCTTCTTGTTGCCTTCGTTCGTCTTCTCAACTGGTACTGTCTTCCAAGTCTTACAATCTCAAAAGTTATGGTTATCGTTCTTTTAGTGTTGCTGGACCTTTTCTATGGAATTCAATCCCATCTTCAATCATTTGAGAGACATTTCTTCACTTGACAATTTTAAAACTGCTCTTAAAACCTTCTTATTTAAACAAACTTATGATCTGTAACTCTATTGTAACTTTCTTTATCTTAATTTTTACCTTTTTATTTGCGCTTAGAAAAAGTTATATAAGCTCTTTATAAGCTTAGATTATAATTATTACACTATTATTTGGCAATCTAAAAACGCATGCTTGGCTTTATGGACTGAAATCTAAAGATTAATTTCATCTATTTTAAATCGTTTAATATACTTTGCTTGATGAAATTATAGCATTTTTCGTATTAATGACGTCACGCGATGACGTCATAGAATGTGTTATTTTTGTTTGGGAAGGCTTAATACTCAATACGAAAGCGATTTTACTTTTGTTTGTCATTTTRGAGAACTACTGAATTTCCCTAGCAACGGATATGTCAGTACACCCTTAAGCTGAGGCCACGTGAGCTAAAATTTAGCTATCAAACAAAATGCAACTGTGTTTATCGCATGTTTTTTAAAAGTTATTAAACGAGCTACAGTAAGTTATAAGAAATGTAATACATGCACAGTTAAGACAAGCTCACCTTTATAGCAAAGTTTGTGCCATATATGATCATGTTCCATAATAACAGTGCGAAATCTGCGGCAGGTCTTACACAAAGAAACCAGATCCAACACTTGTAAGAAAAGAAAAATCTTCACAACAATCTCACTGGGAAGGTCCAAGACRGATTTGGAAGTGGGAAAACCATCGCCTTCCATATGACTACTAGCTGTATACTACAATAAATTCGAGATCTCGCTCAGAGCTCTTCGGATAAATAGAAAAACATATACGTTTTGACGGAACTCAATGGAGAGGCCTGGTAATGAATTCCCTGGGATAGAATGTTTGGGGGTCCTGCAYCTTTGCAGCTTTCCTAAAATAGACACAAAGAAAGATAAAAAGAATAATCAGTAATTTTTTTAAGCCTATATTTTAATTCCTCATTTTTATGAGAAACTCTGAARCGAAGAAGCAATCAGTTTGCACATGCTTGCATATGGGACCCCTGTGTTTTTTTCTAAAAAGACCATAATGCATTTCGTACCTACTAACATGGCATTTGGAGCTGTCGCTTKTGGTCTTGTTCGATTWKGGGACGTGATTACCATTCGTAAAAAAGGTTTTTCTATCGATCGAAACATCAATTTTGTACTGCTACGAGATATTATCATTTAAATGGAGTTCTGGAAGATACAATTGGCATGTTTGAAGCATATTTTAACGTGGAGGTAAGCAAGGCGTTTGTGCAGTAGCGCGAGAGTACACTTTTCGCTGTTCATTACAATGTAACAKTATAWAGAAGCAAAGATAAGCAAGACCAATCGCTGAAGCAAGCGCAAATAGAAATGCTGATTTCATAGTGAAAAAAAGACGTGATTAACGTAAGCTAAAACATTGAAGGTGTTTYATAAGCATAATGGCAATTTGCATCAATCTCGAGCCCAGTAGAGTCAGCGTTATGCTGACGCCGGAAAGACTCTGGAGGAATCAGGGGCGCCGGAACGTTTTTGGTCCTGGGGGGGCTAAGAAGATTAATTACTCGGGGTTCCTGTGGAACCACGAGTTTAGGTTTCGGGCTTCTTTTTGTTATTTTTGTTCATTGTCGTCGCTTATCAGTCACAAACTGTCCAAGGTCACGTGACATTTCTTCCATGTGCTATCTTGGATCTTTCTTATGGTGGCGAAGGTTACCCGACCGATGTATTCAACGTCAAATACGCTCAAATCACTTACAAATCCACACCCCGTTAACGGTATAGCCACACTAAAAGATGTCGAGCGTTTTTCGAAAGGGCATTTTGAGAGATACCGCGAATTTATCGTGAAACTTATCTATCAAACAATCTACCTATCTTATCAAAAGCAAACTCTATACTACCTTATACAGGCTCAGAAACTACAAAGGACTTATCTAAGGAATGCCATCAGATTTCTACTGAGGAAAAGCGGACGATTGGAAGTATTTTATTACCAAAAAGATAAAAGACTCTGTTTACGGCGTGCCATGTGACTATCAAAGTGAGACGTTGATCAGCTTGCCGAAGATCAATTCTTTCATAATATTAATTAATAATATAAAGTACATTGCTTCTGTTATTATTTTTCATTCCAGGAAATACTTTTTGCTTCACCCTTTTGATAGTATTAATATTAACTTTATTAGGGTTCAATGAAGTCCAATTCTTTGATCACTACACTCAAACTATTGTCACTTCATCGTTTAGTGATTGCGATATCTTAGATAAAACTATTTGTTTGACTGCTTATGGTGTATACAATGATGCAGAAGTCAGAATAAAGATTACAAGTGCGGCAAGATCTCGTTATTCAACGTTTGTTTATTATAATTATCGACATATACGTTGTAATCGTACTCGTGAACCCAGTGGGATACCAAAACGATTTCTACGACGCTTGAAACGTATACAAAAGTAGAAAGTTAAGATGGATTGTTTATCATCGAATCCGCCACAATATTCCCAGATCTTCTAAGTTTCATAACTATATCAAGTTCGGAAAGCTTAGGAGAAAGTGCTTTGTCTCAAAGTTAAAGAGGACCAAAGTTGAAGTATGAAGCCAGTCGCTACATTTTTGCTTTCTTGTTATACATTAGATACTGTTATCAATCTGTAAAGTTTTCTTTACATATTTTGACCATGATTATGATAAAATAATTAGTAAAGAAGTATAATTTTTTTAATATTTTATACATTGTCAAGCTGTAAAGTTTTCTTTACATATTTTGACCATGATTATGATAAAATAATTAGTAAAGAAGTATAATTTTTTTAATATTTTATACATTGAAGTACGAACAAGGTATTTTGAGCTACTTGGGCCATCTGTGTTATTGTTATTATTATTATTTTGGTAGAAATTTGGGTATCCTGTGTTAACATGTGGTTGCTTACGAACTGGAGTTGACTGTTGACTGTTGACTGTTTTTTTAACTTTTTTCTATATTGTAATTTTTAGAATTTTTATATAATTATTATTAATTGTGAAATTATTAGTGAATAAAGCTCTTTATTGTTGGCTGTAGAGTTGAGTGGACTCTGCCAGCATGTCATAATAGACAAATGTTTATAAAGTTAATATAAGCAAAAACGCTGATTTTCAGCTTTCAAGTGTTTATCAGTGAAATAAGACACACCAACAGATATCAAGAAGGCTATATATCGAACATTTCTAAAAGAAAAGAACCCCGAGTTCACGCAGATATGCGTCTAGTTGATATTGTGGTCAAGAAATCTTTTTATATTAAACAAGCTTTATTTTACAGTAAATATAACTCTTAATGAATTACATTATAGGAAAATACGAAGAGCTTTTATCATGAAACAAAACCAAAGACGTTATACATAACAACTATCAAATACTGTGCACAATCTAGAATAATCTGCGAAATCCAATTTTTTATGTGCGCTTATGCTGATACGCATATAGTATAACTGCTGACAACATTTAAAAATATCTCAAGATAGGCAAATTGTTTCATAAAGTTGATGTAACGTTACATTTACACGTGAAAACTAGAACGATAATATATACCCTTTGTTAATGTCTCAAAATGTTTTTTTTTTGAGAACAGTTATAATTTAAACTTTACGTGAATCCAGCTACAGTATATCCTAGAAGTCTGCGCGAGACATTTTTCCGAAATTCCTCTTACGATTTTCATTAAGGGAAATAAACTGATTGGCAATATCCACGAGAGAGAGGTCATCTAATCTGTTCTTGTGTGTATTTAGGATGGACACATCGTTGAATCTTGACTGCTGCATCTGTGAACGCAGCCATGTTTTTAAACGCCTTGCAGTGGAAAATGATCGTTCTGCTGTTGCACTTGTAGCKGGGCTTACGAGCATTATTTTACACAGTGTTACTACCTGGTTGATAAAGCACMGTTCATGGTCATTCAGCGACTTTACTTTTTCTAAAATGTCGCTAAAACACTTCATCTGGTCGTCCATTATGACCTTAAATGTTGCCAGTTGAGCTTCAAGTACTGCTTGAGATATATCTGTTGTGAAGGTTGATAATACAGTTTGCATTTCTGTAGAGGTGTCTTCTCCTTTAATGGTCTTCAACAGCAGATCTTCTAAGTTATGATAGATCAGGAAAGCGGGTTGATTGAACCGTTCTTCGATAGCATTCACCAAGTGATCAATTACCTCAAAGWAGATTCTTCGATAGTGATCTTGAGCTGTATCAGGATATGTGTGTTCAGAATAACCTGTTTCATAGCGAGTAGGTGCACGCCTCTTTCTAGGCAAAGTGGGTTCACCTACTGAGGGACGTTGTTGGGCGTTAAGAAGTATGTTTTCATATAGTAACTGAAACGATTGATCATCTCGTATACTTCGTAGGGTGCTGACTGTGAGACGAGCCAAATTCTGCCCATCTGTGGCTGAAAGGCCAGGTGATTGTAGTGACTTTGCAAGGTTGTCTGTGTGGGCAAAAAGGCGCTGACCCAAATTAAGACCAAAAAAGTAAGTAAATGTTTGCATTTGCGTCTGACATCCAATAATACGTGCTTTCAGGTCAGGCTTCAAATTAGTACGAAGAGATTTATCCCACACGTTCAGCAAAGGCTCGTAGTTATCTAGAATTCTTTTATAACAATTCGCTGTTACTGTCCATCTTGTTGGGCAAAAAGTTACAATACCTGGATCTTCGTGTTCATCATTAACTAATTCATTTTCTATATTATCTTTCTCTTCACCCAACATTGTTTCCCTCTTTGGGGAGTATTTGATCAGTGTTACAATTTCTTTCGAAGTGTCCATAGTGTCAGACAGAACTTTGCAAGCCTTTACTGTATCTTTGACACCCAGGCTTAATGAGTGAGCATGACAGTGTGTAGGGAATGCCTTTGGTTGGATATCTTGAATTTGTTTTGTGACTCCAGATTTTTTACCTAGCATATTGCTAGCACCGTCATAGCACTGCCCGCGGCATCTTTCTAATGATAAAGAAAGCCTCTAGAGACTATCCTTAATAACTGACGTTATTGTATTTGCACTTATGTCCGGGATTTGATAAAATCCAAGGAAGTCTTCATAAGCATTCATGTCGTCGTCAACCCATCGAAGACAAACAGTTAATTGTTCTTTATTGCTGATATCTGTATACTCATCACAGATTATGGAGAAGTAGTTGTTTCCGATGTCCTGAATTAAATCTCGAAGTACTTGGGCCGACATGAGTTGCAACAGTTMATTTTGAACTGCGTGGCTTAAGTAGTTTTTTGTTCTGTTCTTTATCCAGCTATCCAAGGCACTAACATCTCTAGCCCGGAGTTTTAGAAGTTGAAGAAAGTTTGAGTCACTGTCATTGTGACCTCTTATTGGTATTYCYTGTCTTGTCAGGTATTGCAACGACTCTATTATAATGGCTAAGCAACGTCGATTCTCTTCTCTAACTTTTTGAGAGTTTTTATTGTTCCAATCTATAATATCATGGTTTGTCTTTGGAATAACGAGTTCAAGTTCTACAGATGTAGTGTGACACTGTGAAGCTTGATGAGTTTTAAATTTCGATAATGCCTTTTTCCAATTTGAAAAACCTCTTGTCRTGAATGCCTGATCAATGTTTGCACTACATTTTAAGTTACCTTTGTGATATTGATTAGCGCAAATGTAGCAATAAAGTGAATYTTCACTTTGGTTGTAATGTAACCATGGGTATTGGTTAAACCACGAGCATTGTGCTGAACGGTCTTGGCCGCCAAACTTTGTTTTGGGGAATTTGTAGTTACTTGATGGCTGGTTTGGATTCTCAATGGTCTTAATGRTTCTTAATGGTCTTTCTTCGCAAATATGCTTTTCTGCACCGCCAGTTTGTTCATTTACAGGTTTTGCAGTTAACGTCGTTGTGCTTTCAATAGATATAGATAACGGAGTTGGCTCGTTGCTGGATGAAGTAGCATCTGATTTAGGCAGTTTTTGAAAGAAAGAGTTTAAGGACCTTTGTGCCATAATAAACCTTAGTTCACTTACAGAGTTATAAAGRGTACCAGTATCCTCAATACAGCATGTGACGGTAATCTTCTAAGTCAACAATCCTGTCTAAGCCATTTGGGTGGATTGTCAAGATRACATCAAGTTCTTCACTAGTTAAATGATTGTCACGGATATCAATGCAGACAGTGCTGTTGGCATACTCCAGCAAATTTAAGATGCRTTCTAGTGTCAGTGCCTCAGGCATGTGAGCAACATTAAATATTTCCAATCGAGAGTGCTGTTTGAAGTGTGCAGTATTAAGTGTATGTTGAGATACACCTCTTGAATTTTGAATCATAAACACCCTCAAAAACTTACAGGATGAAGCAACAAGTTCAAATAATGAGTCAGTCAAGTTGCAATTGCTKAAATCAAGATAACGTAGATGACAAATATTTAAACCATGGAAATCAAGAATCRTGTTATCTTTCTTCGTAATAAACGATAGTGCCAAACGCTCAAGTCTTCTACATCCTTTCAATACATTGTATACTTCCCTCCAATACAGGTAGACACATTCATTTAAAAGAACAGTACAAGTCCCAGGAAATACAAGCTTCTTCAATATCAATATATTCGCTTTTCGCAGCCAATTGAGGTCAACAATTTTCCATGTTGTTGAAGTGAAAACTATATTACGCCATCCTTTGCAAACCAAAGCAACGTTTGAAATCTTTTCATACGTAGTTAAATACTGAAATATGGTAGCCAGTACTAAATCTGGTAGCCTTAACATCAAAATATAGACTGAGTAGAATTATTAATAGATCGGCTGGCACTCTTCAAAACGTCTGCCTTACGATTTTCCCCCTTTGCGTAATACGCATGACTCGACACGTCATAGTGACGTGAAAGAATTACACAGGTAACCCATTAAAGCAAACATTGTATTTTATTGTTCTTCGTTGTAATTTTTTTTTCATTTTATCATAAAATTTTTATAATTTTCGAAAATGCTGACGCTTTTCCGTCACAAATTATGCAAATGAGGTCAATTTTGTTTTCTGCTTTTAGAGCATTAAAGTGATAAAAAAGAAGAAGGTTTAGCACACAATTGAGTTTAGAAACGGCATTGACACCTTTTTAAAAACACAAATGTGTGAAAACGTGTGTTTATGCGATAAAAGTATGATTTTCTTGACTAAGGGCGCGTTTGCACTAGACCAAACGTTTTGACTAGTATTAACAAAATTTTTGCATTTCCGGTTTTTTTTTCGATTGGGAATCGTGTTCGCACTAGCTTTTACCAATTTTCCAAACGTCAATCAAAGGGCGCCCTGTTGTTTTATTTTTATTCTTTGACGATGTTGCCGCGAAATATAGTATTCGGTTTCCTTGTGATGATCTTAAATCTTTTGGTTTCACAGCAGCAATTGCTGTTACTTCTCTGTATCAGGAGATTCCAACTTCTTCAAACAGCATCTCTATTGCAGATAGAGCTCCTTAATCAACGGCGTCGTCACCGAAGACGATTTCGTCCTTACTGGGTTTTCCCGCGCCCAGCAGAATCGTGGTTCGAAGTGCATTTGAACATACAAAATTTTCCTGTTGATTTTTTTCGCTGTCATTTGAGGATGAGGAGGAATATGTTTGATGGCCTTCTCGTGGCTATGAGACCCTTTATTCAAAGACAGAACACAAGATTTCGTGACTGTGTGCCCGCCGAGAAAGTATTGGCCATAGGATTATATCGAATCGCACATGGTGGATCCTACATTAACACTGGACTGGCTATGAACGTGGGGAAAGGAACTGTTTACGAGGCTTTTTACGATGTTATTAATGGCCTATATGAGTTGCGATTTGACTATATAAAATTGCCAGAAACTATGGCAGAGACTCGAGCGTCGATCGAAACTTTTACTCACTTGAGCGATTTGCCAAACATCGCGGGTGCAGTTGATGGCTCGCATATTCGTATCAAAGCCCCTAAAGACAGCCCTGCTGATTACTTTAGGAAATATCATCAATACGACGTTATTATTCAAGGTATAGTGGACGGAAGAAAACTATTCATTGATGTCGCTGCTGGATTTCCCGGGAAATTACATGACGCACGTGTATGCCKCAACAGTCCAATCTATCGGAAGGCAGAGAACGGTGATATTTTAACAGAGCCACTGTATCAAGTAGGAAATAGACAAATAAAACCGTACCTCGTAGGAGATAGTGCTTACCCACACTCTCCATGGCTTCAAAAACCGTATCCCGAAGGCACAACAGATCCCAGTGAGATACAATTCAATAAACAATTATCGTCGGCACGTGTCACAGTTGAGTGTGCTTTTGGGATTTTAAAAGGGCGGTGGAGAATTCTTGACTATATCGAAGAAGGAAACATGTCAGTGATTTCAAAAATCATTATTGCATGTTGTGTGCTACACAACTTTTGTATACTAGCTGGAGATGAGTGGGACGACGATGAATTAGAAGACAACGACCCTGATAACAGGGATAACAACAATGACATACTAGCAGATGGCGATGCAATAAGAGAACTACTAAAAGACTATTTGTAGTGAAATATTTTAATATWATCACTGTGATTAACTTTCCTATAAACAAAACATTATTACACAATATAAMGTGTAAGAATTATAATTGTTATGTTCAAAGTTTTATGCTCAAAAGTGCGTAAAAATAGCAAAAAAATATACTCTGATTGAATTATTAATTATATKAAAAATATTATACATGCTTGTTATAAATGTAGCGAGATATAAACTCTCTTAAAATTATTAGAACAGTAACAAATCCGTAACACAACATGACTTCAGTTCAAATATTTAACTGGACTTGCAATCTGTATTAAAGTACTTTGTGCAAAAAAAACTTATTACGCAGTTTATTTTTTCATTGCCTCAAGCATAGAACTCATAAACTGGGTCATCATTTGTAGCTGTTGTGTCTGCGATTTTTGCATATTCTCGATCACAGCTGTAAGCATGTTTCCCTGATCGGCGACTGAATTTAGAGCCATAGCAACATCTATTTCATCCCCATCTCCTTCGTTAGTATCTCGCTTCCTCTTCTTGCGCTGTCTCCTCTTATTTTGTACTTCGTCTGGAGAAGAATCAGAGCTACCCGCAACATTGCTTTTACGTGGCGGTGAGCTGGTCGAGTTTGATCCACTAGCAGAGTTTTCAGCAGAGTTTTCAGCAGAGTTTTCAGCAGAGTTTTCAGGACGAGTGCTGTCTTTCATGTGTTTAAGAGTCACAATGTCGCGACATCCTAGCACTGAATCAATTTCGTCATAATGTGGGCTTTTCCAACGATTGTCCCCGGTGTGTTTTCTGTTCCAGTCCTTCCTTTCTTTGTACTTATCAACCCAGTACTTGATTTTACGTTGGCATTTCTCTACTGTACGGTTTTGTCCAAGCTGTTTATTTAGTGCATCGACTATTTTGGACCACACTTTGCGCACCACAACTGGTCGTGGTTTTCTCTCCACAGATTGACTACATCTGTGATGTATTAACAATACAAAGACATCAGTAGAGAATTTGCAAAGATAGGTGGTCAATTCGGCCTTATCACGTGACAATTTTGATTTTATTTGTGGGATTCCTGTGTCAAAATTTCAAAAAAAAATTATCATAATATTTTTGTCTTTTACATTCAATCATGGTAATGCCATGTGCAAACTATTTTGAAGATAGAATGATTCTATGAAAAAGTAACATTGACTTTTAGAAATATTTAAAAACAATCATTATAACATGTCCGACTGATTTGTTGTACTTCTGTGGTTGATTTAGAGGAAGTGGTGATCTATATCGCGCGCCAAACTCCAGTTTCACAATCCCTTTGCATTAGATCAACTGTATTCTAGAAGTCTTTGCCTTGAACTTGAGCAACAGTTTTCAATTGTCTGCTTTTTCAACATATTTGGTATATTTTGAACTTTGAAACACAAAAGCATGAAGTTGCATGAAGCCGCTGCTAATTCAGAACACAAGGAATACAAAACGGGAGTATTGCACTAAAAACTTTCCCCTTGGGTTAGGCTCTTTAGTCTTCCGCGCACGTTCCACCACATGCACACAATCCTGTGCATACAAGATTGGCTTTCTTGCACTTACACCGTCCTTTACAGCCAATCTTGCAGCCAAAACGAATCAGTTCATAGCATGTATCTTTGGCCTGTGGCTGCGTTGTCCAAAAAGGAACCCATACATCTGACTCTTTTTTCCAACCCCATTCGGCAGGACTGGGCAGGGTAGGCTGCTTCTCAAGTGTTTGGTTCCAAATATGTATTCCCTGGAACACAGCTCTTTTAATGTGTTGCATCAGTGCAGCTTGAGTCGGGGGAATATTTTCTAGGCTTCTTGTTT